CCAGTCCGTCCGTTCTGCATTTCTGGTCCGTTCCGACCGACTTCGATTGCTCCGTTCTCACTCGTTTCTTACCCGAATCGCGCACCGTTTGTTTCTACACCTTCCTTGGAACGTCCTCTTTCATGTCCAATCAATAGATTGTTGGAAACTCATATTTACAAGATGAGGTACAACTCAAAACGTCCGTACCTCGCATAACTTGTGAATTCCGAATTTCCAAGTTCTACTCAATTTTCGTTTGCTCATAACTTCCTCGTTTCTCAGTCAAATCGAGTGTCGTTTTCTTCTAGACCTTCGTTGAAATATTCTCTATATTTTTGCCTTGTTTTACCCCCTTTTTATTCCCGAAAATAATTTAAATAATTATACGGGAATCGGGGTATTACATATCTCATCGCATGTATACGTATAATATTAACTATATTGCTTGGCCGTTTTCAATAAAAATAGAAATTTCGGGTTACACCCAGATTTCTCTCTAAGCACGTAGCTTAAGACGTTGTTATGCAACGTTTCAGATCGTGAGCAACAGTAGTGACCGAGGCAGGCGCGGGACCCAGTGACATCACATTATCCAGATCATGTATAATTATTTTGTCGTACTTTATTTTTTAAAATAAAGGGTGGTGATCCTTAGAATCTTGTATTATACATTTCACCACTCGTACTATATACTGGTATCTTTGAGTACGTGTACAAGCGTACTTCTGTATTTTATAATATCTTCCGTTGTATTATAATTAAAATGAATGTTTTAATCTTCCCACGATTTTACATTTCGAAATTTTTCGATTGTGATTTAATTGTCCATGTGGCACAACTTGTAAGCGGGATACGGGGTGTCACAGAACCGACCCGTTATTCGATTCATATCCGAAACGAAAATTCGGATATCCGGAGTTTACAGATCAGATACGGATATTTATTTGGAGATATTTGTCGGATATGGATCGGATACGGATATTAAAATTGAATTATCCGACATATCCGATCAGATCCGTACTTTGTAATAATATTATTAAATATAAGAATAATTTGGTACGAAGATTTAAAATGATTAATATTTACATATTTTTTAGGGTGATTCAATAAAAATTATATATATATTGAGGTTTATAATTTTAATCTTTTGAATATTAAGATTTATTATGTTTGATGTTTTGAATTTTGAATATATTTGTATTTGATAGATTATAATTGTATTTGTATTTGAGTTGATTTGAAATATTTAAAATATGAATTTTAAATTTGTGAATATCATTTATCTTAATTAGATTATATATTTTATTAAAATTTGAATTTGTTATTTAATTTAAATTTAAAATTTTATAATATTTTAGGTCGGATACGGATATTCGCAAATATCCGTGATTTTTACGAATATCCGAAGTTGTGGATATCCGAAAATTATGGAACGGATACGGATAACAAAATCGAATATTTATGCGGATCGGATACGAATACACATATTTCAAAAATCCCGAATATTCGATCCATGCCCACCCCTAATTTTAGATACTAAAATATGAAGTGTATAAGATCCAATAATTTCACTGATGTTTAAAATTTCTAATTATAGGTAAGAAAATACACAATACTGGTATTTTTTTTTCATTTTCATTTACTCAAACATTTAATATAGATTAACTCAAAATTTTATTTTATAGCATCCAATGGAAAGCCACACAAAAACGTTTTTTTGGTTTATTATATAACTTTAATGAAATGTTTGTTATAAGACTTTTCATTTTCATTAAACGTTCTTAGATCTCTCCGTCCTTCGCATAACCCTTGTTTATTATATGAGTATCCGTTTCAATTGTGTGGTTTATTTATTATATGGATTTAATGAAATCTGAGTTTCTGTTTTAATTGTTTGGTTTATGACTTTGATGAAATGTTTATCATATGATTTTTCATTAAAAGTTTCATCTGTCCCCTCTCCTTTCCATATCGTATATAACTGTTACTTTTTTGTTCAATTATATTGTTGTGTATGTACGATGTTGATGTGTATAAACCAATCAAAATTTTAAAAAATGACATGTAGATTGATGAGATGGCTTCGTCATATTTCTTCAAACACAATTGTTTATATATATAAGACTAAAACCCCTAAAAAACCTCCAACTTGCAAAAATATATACAAATAAATCTTCAACTTGAAAAACTGTCATTCAATCCCCGAACTTGTAACTTGTCACTGAATAAAACCTCAAACTTGCAAATTATTGCTCTAATAAATCTTTGATCGGTTTGACCACAATTTCAGATGATCGGAAATCCACGTATTAACGGATTGCTGATGTCATCTTATACATGTTATCAATTTTAGTTTAAAAAATGACATCAGCAATCCGTTAATTTCGTTTGAAATTGTGGTCAAACCGGTCAAAGGTTTATTAGAGCAATAATTTGCAAGTTTGAGGTTTTATTCAGTGACAAGTTATAAGTTAGGGGATTGAATGACAGTTTTTCAAGTTGAAAGTTTATTTGTATATATTTTTGCAAGTTCGAGTTTTTTTAGTGGTTTTATCCTATATATAAATTTTCTAATTTTTTCCAAATTACCCTAGACCCGGATCTGATTTCACAAGCGGGTCGTCGACAACTTTTCTATACCAACCCCCACCAACCTTACCATACTCGAGTTGGTGAGATCAATCCCTTGGTCCCATCGTGCGCGTCGATTCTACAATCGAAAATATCAACGGTTAGAAATTGTTACGTACAGTGCACTCGCATACATCGGATTACAACTTCGCAGACAATATAAACCAAAGGCGTGAGCACGAGGGAAGAGC